TATATTCAAATTTACAAATCGTTCAAACATCCTTCAATGTGATTAGCATTGGCAAAATTTGGCCCTAGCTCACCTGTGGAATCAGATTTTTCTGGATCCTCTTCAACTTGGACTTTTTTCTGCCATTTTTTGTCACCACCGTCTCTTCATAGAATTCATGTGCAAGGTCACCGTCCTCGTCATAGTACAAAGAACTGCAGATACAGAAAGTAAACATCAGACGTCAGAAGAGGAAACTTGCACCACATCAGAGTTAAGAGAATATTACATGGTTAGTTTAGTCAAAACACACAAACACTCATATATTTTCTCACTTTCCCCCAGTGCAGTATCTAGCTAAATTTAAAGGGACATTTAGAAATATATGTTTTTCCTCTCACCTGTGGTGCTATTTATCAGTCTAGATTGTTTTGGTGTGAGCTGCTGAGTGTTGGAGATATCAGCCGTAGAGATGTCTGCCTGGCTGCCACTCTGCTTGTGGTGCTCAAAGCACCAAAAATACAGCTATGTCTCTTTCCAGGAATCATGACCCAGTTACTCAAGACAATCCACAGACTTTGTTGTGAGCAAATCAATCAATCAATCATCTATCAAATTAAACCCAACAACTTAGCACTGTGCAGAGGGAAATGTGCATCTATTCATGGACAAGAGGCTCCAGCTTGTGACAGCATGAAATGTGAGCATTTATAGTGTTGTCCTTGGCTGAGCTGTAACGTTGTGAGCTCGACGATGCTAGGAATGCTTCCTTCTGCACTGTGACACAGTTGGCGGGTGTATAAAGTAAATAGTTCCTGCGTGAAACTACTCACAACAAGGTCTGCGGATTATCTCATTACCGAAGTCATGAATTCGGGAAAGAGACACTGTTGTTGAGTCTCTCAAATGTATTTTCTTTGGCCCTTTGAGCACCACATGCTGAGTGTCGTCTGATTGTACTATATTCAAGAGAAAGCAGACATTTCTACGGTTGGTATCTCCAGCAATTGGCAACTCACATAAAAACAATCTAGATTGAAAAACAGAGCTACAGATAAGAGGAAGTATGTGTATTTTTGATTTTAGGGTGAACTGCCCCTCTAATGTGTAGAGATTGCCACCATCACCTCACACCAGTGACTCTTAACTTTTTACTATGCAGTTTAAACATAACTACTTTTTATGAAGAGAGTCAATGATAAATCAAGTTATTAAATGTAGCTGATCTACCTCTGAACCCCTGTATAACCCACATACCTCAAAGCAGACAGTTTTTTATTGGGGCCATTTTCATTTAGGGCGTCCTGGTGAGCTAGTGGTAAGGCCATTGACCATGAAATTGCAGCTAACCCAGTTCCATCCACCCTGAGACCTTTACTGTGTGTCATTGCCCATCTCGCTCTCCCCTCGTTTTTCATATTTCTACTTTCAGCTATATACTAGAAGCGTAAAATGCCTTTATAATATAGCCGTTCGCCTACATTATAATTCCCAGATATTTTTATCTCCTCCACAAGGAACACATACGAAAATGTGTTGTGATTTGGGTGACCTTAACCTTTACCATTTTGCAGTCATGTATTATTTACCTCCTCCTGGTAAAAACAAACGGTGTGGCATTTCTGGAACCTTTGAGACGGGCCAGAGACTGCTCATTCCCATCACTGCCTGTATCCCCTCCAGCTCCACTGCCTGAGAAAGGCCAGACACCTTTGGCTTTGGATCCACTTCCTCCCATTCTCAGAGATAAGACATAGTTATTCTCCACTTAAAGCTTTCAATCTGGTTGGTGGCCAGATGCTCTCAATTCCTTACCAAGGCCAGGATCTGGGAAGTAGAAGTGCACACAGAAAAAAACACAGTGCCAATCAGATTTGACTTTCTCTGCCTGGTGGTGTTCAGCTGGGTGTGTGACTAACTCTGCTCCCTTCTGTAGAGCACCATTAGTTTAGTAGGTGACTGTTAACTACTTTGTTGATGAATGGCTGTACTACACTAGCACTAATGCACAGTTGACGCCAATGTAAATGTGATGAATGATAATTTTACCTTGTATTTGATTCAGAGTCGCATTTACATCACAGGTGCTGACACAGTAACTGTTGGCAAGCTTCATTAAATGACGATAAACATGTCAGCTCTCTGAACCTGACAGTGTCAACGCTAACGTTTTATTCAAACGTTATGCTAGCTTACACGAAGCTAACACACTGGGCCAGACAACTACCGAACCCTGAACGGAAGTATTGATTAATAATGTTTATTACATTACCGTTTAAACGCGCAAACACAACCGTAGTTTTACATCTGGCGCATAGTCTGTGTCACAAAAGCACTCTTGGTAGCAGGCTAATGTGGCTAATAATAGCTGGCTAACTGTAGCTAACGATACCTGCATATTTAGGTGAGTTAGCCTGTTAGCTTCTGCCACTGACGCAGGTTAGCAACAACGGCTAAACGATGACTAGCTAAATAAACAAGGCAGCGATGTCTGCTAAACAAACGCGGTGTTATCTCTGCCATACACAGTTAAGACACGGTCCTCTCAAACGTGTTTCTGGGCAACATCCTACCTTGTCATACGGTGTTAAATCGCCATGTCCTTTCATAACTTTAACCACCGGCTACGTTAAGCTAGCGTTAGCTGTTTTGGTCCGTGTGCTGAGGCGATCAGCTGATCGGACAGACAGGCGGCACCTCCACAGTTAAAGCATGTAAAGATAGATGATGTTTATCTTAAGTAAAGGGTTAAAATATTGTTTCAGGGGCATGTATGTAAGAAAAGCCATGTTAATTAGGGCTAATATTTATACATTAAGCCCCCATATGTAATTTTGCATTTATGTATATCTGAAAAAATACAAAAACTTATTTGAACTGGGAAATTCTTTACTGAACGCAGTGCACATTTGTCACGACAGTTTGAGTTATTGCTTCAACATGTAAATATGTGCATAGACGGATACAATGATAGTGAAACTGAGAAACATTAGACATTTTCTAAAGGACAGAAAAAAAACAAAGAAAGAAGGAATGACAAACAGCTTCCAGTGAAACACATGTATACCAATATTCATTCATGATTCCAGTCAACCAGAGTGACACTGCTCTCTCTGACATTCATAAAGTTGCATACAAATGTCCATACATCAGTCAAACTCACAATTTGACGGTAAAATAAAAAAACAGAGTTGCACCCATCAGGGGTGTCGAGAGGACGTGGCAGATTTTTGAGCCTGGGTCAAATGAAAATCCAAATACCTTTCAGCAACAGATGTGTATTTAACTTTCTAAAGGAATAAATGAAAATGTCAACAGGGTGGTTACTAAGTATGGTTTTCATGGTGGGTTGTTAACGTTTATCTGAACCTGGCAGTAATTGGAATTGGATTGGATTGGATTGGAAAAATAAAAAGGAATGTAACTTCCAGAGGTGTGATTATCAGCTCAATTGCAACATGGGGCTTTACTTAAGCACTGCATCTACAAATGCAAAATCGACTATTCTTTCATACCTAAAAACTTTGACATTTTCTTTAAAGTTAAAGTGACACAGCTGAGGTAAACAGGATAATCAAAAGGCACCCCTTGGCAAAAGACATTACTGGATACGACCACTGTCTCATCTGCCAGTCGTCACTTCTCTCAACTCATTCTCTCAGGCACATCAGACTCTCCAGGTGTAAGGCACTTCGCATCTCTCGCATCACTTCACACGCACATTCGCGCCGGCTCTCTCTCTCTCATTGTCTTGCGCCCTGTCTCACTCTCTCGTTCACACAAGAGGCGTTTTGAGTTGCATTATCTGGGATCTTTGGATGCAGCGATGACTGTCATCTTCAGGTGATTGTCCAGCCAAGTGGTGCATATTCAACCCCGAGTGCAGAGTCGTCTCAACCGGGGGTCGAGCCGGCCAGGGCCTCGCGCATCTTGGTGCGGGCCAGAGCGTACCGCTGCACTATCTGCTTGACGTGCTCCTCCTCTTCACGCTGCAGAATGCGCAGGAAGTTCTTCAGCTCAGGCATTGAGAAGGCATGCCACTGGAAGGAGAGAAAAATCACATTAGGATATGTGCAATTAATCTATGGTTTGGATCCATTACACCAGGGATTAACTTGTTTTCTAACCATCGTTTAGAGTAGACAACTGGCTGCTTACATACACCACATGTCTCGGACTGTAAAGAACCTCTGTATTTGCGTGATGTCAATATGACACACACTCATGGATACTGCTGATTCTGACATTATAGCGGAAAGAGTGACAGCAGCGCCATTGAAGATTGTCATTGTTCAGCAACAATTTGGCTTGGGCAGTATCACGGTATACCAGAGTATTTAGAAATCCAAATGGTATGATTTTTGCTACTGCAAAAAATACTGATGCTCATCTTTCTAGCAAACTCCTAAGGAGAGGCTGTACTGAGGATGTATTGTATGTAGTGCACATCATGCACCACCAGAGGTCAGTGTCTACTGGTGGGGTTGTAGTTAGCGCTACACACAAATACTGTCATATACCATATACGCCACTGAAATTTCAGCGAGGTATGAAATTATGAAACCATAGACACTGCAAAAGCCTTGTGGCAATGACACATTATAGTGAAGCAGGTTATTGTAGACTTGGTCTATTACTTTGTCTTCACAACTTTCTGCCACTGTTGTCGTAGCTGATGTGCCTAGTGACCCCTGACCCTGTCAGATCAACACGTTGCCCCTGCCGTACTTGCAGACATGGAGTGTTAATTACTGAGCATGTGCACAACCAAAGCTCAAATGGACATAGGAAACACGAGGCAGCCATCATGGGCACACGTAGTTAAAAGTAAGTATATCTCTGGCTTCATTCTTATGTTCATGCTGCACTCACATTGACTTCTCCAGTTTCATTCTCCTTCAGAACAAAGCTGAGGACTTTCTCATTGGGCCCAGCACACAGACGCAGACGGAGGGGGCGCTCATTGTCAGACACCTTGCGAACATAAACTGAAAGAGGCAAACAAAAAGACTCAATTTAGTGTACAGCATTTGGTAAAATAAGTGAATAACACTGCAGGAGTTGAGCATGTGAGCATAAAAAAACAGGAGTAATACCTTGGTCATGACGCTCGCTGCGCTCAAACAGAGCAAACTTTCCAGGATTGTCCACCACGGTAAACTTTTTCAACAAAGCCTCGATGACCTCACGAGCAGAAGTGCGAGAGCTTATGTGCAGGTGCTTGGACGCATCCTTTGGCAGGTAGAAAGAGGTGCGGCGCTTCACTCCGCTAGCCCTCCTCCCTGCAGCATCGTGACCTCCTTTCTTTGGAGGTGGAACTGACACAGGACGCGCCAACTTGAACTGCACCTTGATGAAGCCAGTATAGGAACCATCCTTGTTCTGTTGGGAAAAGTAACAAAAGTTACCCTGAAGGAAAAAAATGCCTTTACATTAAAATCCATGGATTTGTAGAGCGTCATCACTACTCACCACGTTCATGAACAGATTGCTGTTGATTTGAGCGTTGTACTCCTTCACCTTCTGCTGAATATCTGCAGTTGTCAGCTCCTGCTTTCCCCATTCAATTTGTTCATCCTGGAGGGGACAGTTACAGTGTTAAACCAGCAGATGTCAGTGCTCACCTCCAAACCACATCAGAGACGGCAGAAACCCCCGCACAACACACAGAATTCAGCAGCACAAGACGGCCACAGGGTGTTATTTTAATGAAAATGTCATGCTCTATTATAATAACAGCTGTCATGGGTAACTTATTTTTTTTCTACCGAAGGAGAAACCTTATGAATCAAAAAAAAAAAAAAAAAAAAAAAAAAAAATCACGCTTCTGTTGTATGTCTCAAATAAAGTTTTTGAGGAGCTGAGAGTGTGTGTTTTTATTGCATGACGCCTGGGCTGAGCAATACATGTTGACACTAAGTTGGAAGAGGGCGTGGAGCTCTCATAAAAAAGCAACAGTGGTGTGACCCAAATTTGATTTAAACAAGTTCTTCTTCACAAAAAATGCTTAATATTGTTAAGAAGTGGATTACAAACACACATAGTAAAAGTGATGTTAAATGACCTTGTGTTAGGCCCCCTTTTCTCTTTCACAGTAAGCACCAGTTGCATCAGACTCCCAACTTCCTGACAACGTAGCAAAGGCAAAAACGATGATGTCAGCGCTGCCCAATCCTGTTTGACTGCTCTGACTCCTCGCTCCAGGAGGGGTAGAGGAAGGAGGGGTTTGTGCAACTTGCAGCTGTTTGCAATGACTGCGACCAACGGTTCAGCGCTGCATTCCTCAACTTGGTATTCATGTAAAAATAGCCTCCCCTCTTCAGCTCTCACAAGCGGGAGAGACAATGCCCTCCCTTGTATTACAGACACATCCTGTGAGGTCAGCTGCCTCATCAACCGCACGATCCCAGTCATGTTTCAGTCATGGACATTTGGACGTTACCATCTGCATGACCGTTAGTTCAATTACGGCTTTTCCTGTGTGTACTGACCAATTGGTATTTCCTGTATAGAAAGAAAACCACACAGAGGAGGCAGCTCTAATTTATTTTTCATACTGTACTGTAATTCACTAAGGTGGAAGCAGGGGCTTTCCTGAGGAGCAAAATCTAAACATCAGTATTCCACATTAATGACATGAAACTTGTGCAAATGTCTCCATTATTACAGACAAGCTTTTCTGCACACATTCAAAAATGAAAAACATGAAAAGGTATCCTCTACCCTACCTCCATCTATTTTCATGACCCCAGATTGTCCAGTGCAAAACAAACCACGCAAAATTGCAAGCATTAAAAGGGGCTGGCTGGCTTATAAATCGATGTCAGGCAAAACAAGATCAATAGCAGAAATCCTCAGTCAGACTGAAAGACTGCGGAGTTAATATGCTGCTGTTAACATGTCAATAAATCAATATGAGGGCCAAGTAAGGCTTTCCCATATGGCAACAGTAGGAGGAAACACAAATACAACAACTGTGTCTCTACATGCCCACAAAAGGAGTGTCACATCAAAAACACAGGGCTCACTGTGCCAGCAACATAAATCAAAAATGACTTCTGCATAGAGACTAAAAATTGTAAATGTCACTGTGTTTTACAGTAAACAGCATCTGTTTCACAATACTTAAAGCTGATACCTGAGTGGGTGTGGATGACAAAGGGAACAGAAAATGACCACATTCACAACAATGCGTGAATCATCTGTGATTGAGAAATGAGTATGAAAACCCTGAACAGTCAATGAATGGTGGGTGTAAAGTTGGAAACTTGAGAGGCGGGTGTGCGTCACAAAAACATGACATTTGGGCTGTTCTCAGCATGAGCTCAGCTGTGGGTCTGTGCTTGTTGCAATAAAAAAATAAAACATGTACTGATGTGTTTCAGTGGCAAAACCAGTATCTGCCTTTTCCCAGTGGTGACATGCATTTTATTATTGGTTTCTACAAGTCAAGTGTGTTTACTCAAAACTGGGGGAACCAGAACTCCACCCTAAAGCCTGCACGTTTCCTTGGAAAGCATCCTCTCTGCTGGAGTGCTCCACAAAACACACCATGACCTTTGACCCCCCTACAAGTATCGATTCAGTACTCAATTTGGCAAAAACAGTCAGGAAAAAAGCATAAGTATGAAGTAACGCGAGAGCAGCAATGTTGAGCCACCCATCACCCATCTTTCTGGCCTCACTTCCCCTTTTACAGTGACCAAATGACTTTTTATGCACATTTATTCATTTATTTTTTTTATCTGCCTCTCACCTTCTTTACGTTAGCATTAACGTTAGCTTTCCGGGTTTTGGGGAAGAAAGATGTCCGGGCGGTGAAGTACTGCTCGAACTCGGAGTCGGACTCCTCCTCGCTGCAGTAGCCGCTGCTGGTGGAGCTGCCCCAGGTCATCTCGAAGGAGGGAGTCTTGTCCGAGCTGCTTGCCTCGTTTGTCATGCTGACCACCGGTGTAACACGTTTAACACTACCGTTAACAACCGGAACTTATGACACTAAAAGTGTTAAAATAAGTCACTTTTAGCTAACGCTAGCTTAGTTACCTCGGCTAAACAGAAGTCTGGTTCAAACGTTCGAAATAATGGGAATTAACGGCTAACTTCAACGGTTAACTAACCTCGCAGAGGACCAAATATGTCTGTGCTGCCTTGATAACAACAGTCTAACCGACAAAATACTACTGACTTTTCTTCCTCTAACTTCTCAGCCTACCGGCCACGTTTCCACTGTACTAACTCTGTGTGAAACAGGATGTGTTCAAGCCCCCACCCTTGTTGTCTCGCTTCCTTCCCCCGCCGAGCCGAGCCGAGGCCCCACCCAGGGGCCGTTGGGTTGAGTTTGGAAAATACACAAAACTAACGCAGCCGGTCGCGATTGGACAGCCAGGGGAAATACCAGAGACTCTCCATCCACCCCCCACCCCCCCCCGTGTCCCTTTGCTGCTGCTGCCGCCGCCCCTCCCTCTCCCACGGATGCTGCCTCTGCTCCTTCCCCGCTGAATATGTCATGTGATGACAGGTCAGTAGGGTCACGGCACTCACAGCCAGAGGCAACATGTGAGTCTCATTATGTTCAACATTTTACTGGAATAATTTTATTAGTGACACTGACTGGACTAAAGTTTGGTCCTTACCACAAAAGTTTCTTCTAACAAATAAAATCAAAGAAGTGCCATTTAAATTGATCCACAGATTTTACACTGATGTAAATTGCTCTTGTTGTGAGTTATATCCTGAAACGTGCTCTCATTTGATCCTGCAATTTTACATATGCATTGTGGAAATATATTTCTAAATTTATAGCCAACAATAGTATCTCAAATTTTACTATTTAGGCAACTATATAACTCTTGTATTTGGGTGCTTTAATTATTGCAACAAAGGCCTACATTTCCCAGCATGCTGGACTGAGTAGTTTGTAGTTTAATATTTATAATAGTAATAACACATTGGATTATATATTGCCTTTCAGGATACTTAAAGACACATTACAGAGAACAACAGCAATCAAAACATAAAAAAATAAAAAAAGAAGATGAAATAAGGGCGAAGTACACTGATTTTAGAGGTTGTAGGCAGTTTTGAAAAGGTGTGTTTTGAGGGTTGTCTTGAAGGTGGAGAGTGAGGAGGAGTCTGTGATGTCTTTAGGGACTGAGCTCCAGAGACTTGGAGCAGCAATGGAAAAGTCCCGGTCCCCTCTGTGTGGTGGTTGGTCCAGGGGGGGGGGACGACTAACTCACTCACTGTTTTCTGCTCCATAATGCAATGTCATTTTTTGTCACTGTCTATGGTGTGTCTGTTTAGAATATGATGGTTTATGCTAATTATTGTCATTTAATTTATAGTTTGCAGCATTAGTGAGTTGGCTCTCCCACTTCATGACCACAGTTGTATTTTCTCACGGTGGTTTTGAGTCTGTTGTTCAACTATTACACGTCAAGAAAGACTGACAGTGACAGTGTTCAGAACTTCTGTCATTTGTGAAGCTGAAGTTGTCACCATATTAATGTTTTTTCCTTACTGATTTAATTGTACTAAATCTCACATTCATAGCTGTAAATTTGCAAACAAGAAACCTCATTTTTTGGTATCAAAAAAGGAAATGGACTTGTCAATGATTTCTTCCTCACAAAACAAAAAAGCTAGCCTCAAAAAAAGAAGCCTCTCATGTCTTTAGTTTAACTTTCATTTATGTTACATTTGTTTTGCCTTTGTTTTCCTTTTCTGTTTGGTACTGCTTTTAGTTTTGTTCTTCCAGTGCTTCATTTGTATGTGTATTGTTCATTGTCTTTCTTCTCACACCTAATCTTAACAGTTCAAAATGAAGATCATTTAAAAAAATGTAAACCTTCTTATTTTATTTATAACTTAGACTGCCAAATGAAGTTACATGTTTCCTTATGTAGTTTGAAAAGCTTGAGAGTGGTGAAAATCCTGCCATCTGCAGGGGAAAGAGGGAGATACCGAGGCCCTCCTACATGCCACACAACATTTAGCCAATTAGATGAGATGGACAGAAAATTAGGGGAACTCCTGCAGTTATTACACTTCCATATCTGAGTCAAGAGGAAAATAACAACATATAATCAAAGCAGCAGAGACAGAGATATCCAAACTTAGTTTTATGGGAATATAAAACTATACTATGGTTTTGTTATAGTTTTTGTTGTAGTTTAAAGGATAACTTAGATATTTTTCAACCTGGGCCCTATTTCCCCATGTGTATGTGTGCAACTTGTTTTAAAATTGGTTCAGTATTGAGGGAGGAGGATGCAGCCGGGAGCTGCGAAACGAGCTAAAACAGTAACGGGGGCAAATGCGTCCCGTATAAGTTTGCGCATTTTTTCGCCACTGACTGGTTCAGATCGCCAGTGTTATCTCTGTAAATAGCATATTAAACGTTTCCCTTACCCTTCACTTGCTCTGGGCTGTGTGACGTCATCTCAGGAGAGCTTTGCTTGTTGCCGGAAGAAAACAGAGGAGCCATGCAGAGCGCCGCTCCGAGTGACGCTGGTTGTCCTGGAGTACAGCTGAGAGTTTTACTGCATCGATTGAAAACAATGGTTCGTGTTTGTGCTTATCCAAATTGCAAGAACAGGATGTTGCGCAACACCCCGTACAGCTTTCATAGGCTGCCTTTGTTGGACGGCAAGATGCTGAAGTTGTGGCTAGTTGTGCTACAAATGGATGCTAACACTCCTGTCCAGACACTGCGCCTTGCAGACCATCAGGTCTGCAGTGCTCACTTCTCCCAAGATGACTACTGCCAGCCGAAGAAGAGAAGACATCCAATCCCGAAACACCTCTTCCTTAAGAAAACGGCTGCCCCACGAGTAGAGAGAGCTACAGACTCAGTGGAGCAAAGCTCTTGCGAGATGACGTCACACACAGCCCAGAGGTAAGGGAAACGTTTAGTATGCTATTTACAGAGATAGCACTGGCAATCTGAACCGGTCAGTGGTGAAAAAAAAAGCACTTTTAATGTGCAAACTTATACGGGACACATTTGCCCCCATATCTACCTTGCGGCTGCATCCGCCTCCCTCAATACTGAACCAATTTTAGAACGAGTTGTACCTATGAATCATACGCACACATACACATGGGGAAATAGGGCCCAGGTTGAAAAATACCGAAGTTATCCTTTAACTATAAGAGCTAGTAGCTCTTAAAATATTGGATCCTTAAGTTCTCATAATGCAGTTCAGTAGGGTCCTTCCCTGCACATGGTGTCCAGATAATAATAATAATAAAAAAAAGAATTACAGACTGGGAAACAGAGTAACAACTCAAAAAGTCAGTGAAAATTCTGGTCGGGAGGTGCCAAGTTGATGTCATGTATTGTGACACACACACACACACACATATATATATATATATATACACACACACACACACACATATATCCTACATACATCCTTTCCGTACATACTTACATCCTTTTCCTTACATCCTCTCCATACATCCTTTGCATTGTAAAATCTTAAAATACTTGGTAACATCTGTTTACTTTAATAAATAATTTGCAGAATGCCTCTCGAATTAATGTTACACAGATCAGGATAGCAGAATCAACAGTGCTCATATTTTGTTTTTGGCTGCAATGCTCAGAGCAGAGGACCCACTGTCTCCTTGCTAGCTGTAACTGCACCTTGGACCGCATGGGGGAAGTACAAATTCAACAAAAATAGACTATTTAGCCAAGGTTTTGTGGCAAGGCTGAAACCTGTACTAGGTGATGCATTCAAGGCTCGGTGTATTTTATGCAGAAAGTTTCAAAGTTTGAGAAACACAACTTGCCAGGAAAGCCCGTCAACAAGCGCCAGTTATTTCCCAGTTCTGTTTGACCCTCGTCTCCAACACGAAATAAAAACATCCTTTCCTTTAAATTTGATATTGTAAAAGTGATCTTAAATTTTATTCTGAGTTGAACAAAAAAAGTCTCTAAAGTCTAAATTACAACTCACCTTAAGCCAGGGGCGGAAATCCCGGGGGGGGGGCAGGGGGGACATGACTCCCCCTTCAGTAAAGCTGTACCCCCCTAGAATCATTTGAGACACAATTAATAATTTTTGAACAGTGCAGTAGTATTTATTGAAAGCACAATGTAAGCGGTGGTCATTATAATCGCGCAATAATGTGCTATTTAAATCTTAAAAGATTTAGCCCCCCCCCCCTCCCATTCCTAGTAGTGGTATATCCCACACTCTTTCCAACAGGCGGGGCTGCTTGGCAGCAGCAGCAGCAGCGTGCGGCTGGAACCGCTGTCCACATCGCGCATCGCAGGGTAAGATGTACACTCACACAAACACAGTTTAACTTACACAAGTTACAACACATCCCATTTACTGTTAAAACAAGCTCCAGGCCCAGGCTGATAATATAAACTGTCTGCAACATTTCTCCTGCATTGTTCAAAAGCCTACTCAATTACGAGTGCTGCTAAGCTAAAAGCTAATGATTAAGCTCAGAGTTTAGTGATAGTCAGAGAGGACAGGAGAGAAAGAAGAGGGAGAGGACAGGACAAGAGCAGTCAGTGGCGGAGTGGCTCGTAGCTAATGGGTACCTGTCTGTAGGCTCTCCACCTGTCAGTGAGACAAACATGAAAGACGCGCAGTCTAACGGATGAGGAGCGGTCATTATGCACGACTATTATGCACGGTTGTGAGGTGCGCAGCGGCAGATCTGACAGCACACTGTTTATAAACCATTTTACCAGTTTAATTGCAGGAAATGTTTAGTTGTTAAGCCATTTCTCATAACTATAGATATTCACTCTGCCTGTTGGAGAGATAGAGAGAAGATTAAAGCGTCAAATTGCGGTAAAAGATGCTGTATAAACGACAGGCTACAACTTTTTTTCCTTGTCCCCCCCCTGGAATTATTCTCTAAAATTTTACTGTTTATTGTCCCCCCCAACTATGAAATGGGATTTTCGCCCCTGCCTTAAGCTGAAAGAACCGTAGATATCCTCTGAATGTCGCATACAGCTCTTTTAATAATTCATGTGAGTCACTTTCCAAACAAAATATCTGTCACCCACTTCTTAAATGTGACAGGGTTTTTTTTATGATTTTCTGCTTATCTCTGTATTTTTTATCATCATTAGTAAAATATTTTGGAGTTATGAACAGTTGGTTGGAAAAAAAAACTTGCAATATGAATGACACCCTGTGAAACTGTGAAGGGCATGTCTGGCTACAGAAGACTATAATCAGGAATGCTGATGAAAATGAGCAGCATTTAAAACTGAGATGAAAGGCTTTTTTTAGTAGCTTTATGATTTAGATAC